TCGGGAACAGTTGTAAAATTGGAAGCAGTCTGACGTACGAAAATGATAGTGTTATATAAGTTGTTTGCAGATCTACCAGATCTTTTAGACTTTTATGCAGTGCATTAATGCATTCTGACACCGCAAGCTAATTGTTCAAATCGACGACACTTGGTTATATGGTTGATACACTCAAATAATTTTATTGACGGTTGCACAAGACGTCAACAGAAAATCTATTCCTATTACCTTCGTAATTGTTGAAAATCTATTCCTATTACCTTCGTAATTGTTGAAAATGAATATATCGACTCTTGGGAATTCTTCCTTAAGAAATTACAAACATATGTTCTATCACATGTGATACATGATAGAGATGATGTGATTTGTCTTATTTCTAACAGAGGCACTGGTATCAAATACGCACTCCAACGTATGGGTCCGTCTTACCAACCCCTAATATTTATTAACTGTACTGTTTACGACATATTGCTGCAAACTATTTGCAGAAGTTCAAGAGTCAAAATGAGCGTCTAATGGTATTTCGAATGGGTACGTCTTTCACCCTTTTCGAGTTACCATGTCTTTACAAAAATTATTTCAAATTAATTGTTCTACTTTTTATTGATAGGTTACACACAGTCAGTACGTGAGTTTGAGGATCTGATGCAGGAACTAAGACACGTGAATTCTGAAGACTTCAATTACCTTGCTAGAATCCCAAAGGAGAAATGGCTTCGATCTTTTAATAGGGGCAGACGGTGTGGTCACATAACAACGAACTTGGCTGAGGCAATAAATTCATCACTAAAGAGAGTGTGCCATTTGCCTATCACGTCCGTTGTCAAAACGACATATTATCGACTAACAACCCTTTTCGCAACCTTGGGAAGGCAAGCAGCTGACTGGATGGCAGGTGGCCACCAAATTCACCCAGACATCCTCAAAAAATTACAAACATTTCAACAGCATTCCAACTCGATGAGTGTCATATGCTTCTCTCGCGAAATGTCATTATTTCGTGTATCAAAATTTGTGAGGCCATTGGAAGGCATACAACACAAGCATACGTGGTTAATTTAAGAGAAAAAACATGCGAGTGCAGATTCTTCCAAACTTTCAAATACCTATGTACGTATATCATTGTTGTTGTTTCTTCTGTTCGGATACCCTACATGAGATTCGTTGATCGAGTTTACTTACTTGAAACTATATTCAATGTTTATGAATACGAGTTCTCTCCCATTAGAAATTAATAGGATCCAGATGAAGCTGATGATGAACCTACAATACGTTCAGATTATGCACTACGATGAAAAAAATCGGTCGTCCATGGTCAACCGAATTTTTTGTGACGAGGATTTGGTCGAACATCAAGAAAGAACCGAACAACCGAAATTATGATCTATATGTAGGAATCCTGGACACACGAAGAATAAATGTCCCAATTGTTCAGGCCCACGTATAAATTAAATGGGCTTTCTGCATTATTTGTTTTTAATTAAAAACTCATATTACTTAGTTTTCAAATTTTTTTATTTCTTTATGCACCAAATCATGCATTCCAATATTTTCCAACACGATTTTTACCCCATTAAAATATCTAGTATATGGCCAAATTAGCCTTAACATAAATATAAATTGCAATACTATACTTGTAAGCATATAAATTCTGAAATCACTCATATTTACAAGCTAAAAATAATACTCCAATATGTCTATCAAACCATTTTTTTTTCTTCCTTCACAAAACCAAGATTCTAACCATTTTCAACGTCATTTTTATCCCATTTAAAATATCTTGTATATGATGATATTATAGTCACCTTAAAGATAAATTGCAACACTAAGCGTTTATAATTAAAAATTAAAAAACAATCAATTTCCCACCCGGAAATAGTATCCAAACAAGGCTATGCACACTAAAGGGAGGGTATGGAATCTATTGTCTTCAAGCTTTGCAAGTCGGGAGGTCCCCTATAAATTTCATGATATTTTGGATCATAAATGCTACCTCGCGCTTCGCAATGCACGAGGTCGTTTTATCTAATTGTTTTATTGACTTACCTGGAAAGTACACCCACGTCGAACATATCTCGCGTGTTGGAGGGTGCGAGGATTTAACACGCTATTTGCAAGATCAAATAATTTCTGGAGATCTTATTTCTTTAAATAATTATTTATTTAAAGTTTTTAATATAAAATTGCCAATTATGTCCGCCATTGGATTGGTTGTTCGCATATTTCTCGTGGGAACATAATCTGAAAAAAATATAATGATAACAGATTTAACAGTTCTTTCGTACGAGATTGATGTTACAGACTTAAGGTTGAAGAGTTTCATTGGAGTGTCTGCCTGTGCTCTGTGCATTGCTGACTTGGTTCGGTCATCGGTGCCATTGACTAAAAGAAGCCAACCTAGATCTCTCGTACTAAACAATACTCTCATATGATCCATTTCCTCACGAGTCACGACGGTGATTAAAACAACCTTTGTGGAAGTTTTGTTAGGTTTTTTTTTACTAGCAATTTCAAGTAAAATATGATTGGATTGGGTTTTCTTCAGTTTTCAGACAACTTGGCGAAGCTGCATGCCTTTGCAGAGGATATCTGACAGTCAGAGTACGACACTATTTCTCTTTCAGATAGATGATGATGAGACAGCAAAATTTGTTTGTCGTAGACTGTACCGTGCAATATCAGCCCACCTGTGAATGCCTCTTTTATCCGTCTTTATCTTGCTTAGGTCCTCACTGACGTTTTTACCCTTTTTTAATATTATTATTTCCATATTCCTTTTTTTGGGGAATATTTATTATTTTCATATTCTATTGTGTGATATCTAAAAAATTACCCTAAATGTTGAGAACCACGAAATCAGCATAAAGGAAGATCAATAATTCAATCATCATTGCGTTTGGCACGACTGCTCAGTTCACGCAATCAACCACAGTTCCTCTCAATCCCTCGTAAAACCAACAAATCATAATAAAATGCATTATTAAAAAAAGTATTCAAAATACCTGTCATCAGGAAAGGGGAAGTTTTGAATGCACTACTATGACATGCACATGCTATATGTTATGGATCTTACTTCTTACTACTCCCTTGTCACATCCCCCCACCAGAAAAGTTTGAACAATATATATCGATCCTGTATTTTCTAGGAAAAAAAGAAATAAATTAATCGAGTTAGGTGTAACCTTATTTTAATGAAATTTAAATGAAAAAAAAGATGGATGTTTTTACCAAAGTAATTTAAGGTCCGTTTTACAAAAAAAAAAATGTCCATGACCATGAGCATATACAAAATATTTCTTACCTAATGACGCATTTAAAGCTTGTTTCAAGTTGATCTTGATTTTGATCGCGACAAGAAGAAAACCGGTGTTAAAAAGCTCTGCCTACACCACCATCTATGTCGGGGACCAGAAGCCATCCTCTTACTTCCTGAAGTGAACTTGACAAGGTTTTATATATTGCCAATTTGGGACATTAATCAGTTTTTCATTAATTCCAAGTTTTTTTTTGGTAAAAGATATACGGGGGATATATAGCTCTTGGGAATGCCAGGGGCCATGAATAGTGTGCCAAAAACACTGAAAAATATGCAAAATGAATCGGATGTTAATGAGGTTTTTTGTTTCCTTTTCCATTTGAACCTTTGATACTCTCAAAGTGTACATTTAGTCAAATTAAAATGATTGGAAAGTATTTTGTCACACTAGCTAAATCTAACACGTCGATACCTTACTTTATCAGAATTAGATTAGGATTTTCGTGTTTACAAACTTTACATTCATCTAATCTATACCTATAATCCATCATTTATGAGTTAATAGATCATACTTACCTATATTTCATCATAATCTTCAAAAAATTTATTTAGCACGAGATTAACATATATATGGTTAGGATCCAATTGCAAAGTGTAAACTAAAAAAAAATTATACCTTTTTAGAGTCATTGGATGAGAGAAAATGAAAGGCTAAGATTAACAGTAGAAAATGAAAATATATTTTTTTGGGAAAAAAGAACAATTAGTCAACCTCAGCCCTTGATTTCCTCTCCTCTAATGATCCTAAAAGCTAAAAGAGTTCTGCACATACACAGTGTAAGTAAATTCTAACCCTATATATATTGGGGCACGATCTAATTACACGGTGTCTATGTAGGTCTCTTTTAGTCTTACACCTTTTTAAGGCCAGAGAAATTAAAGGATGAGACTAACAGTAGAAAATTAGAATAAATTCACTGAAAAAAATAAGAATTTAAACTCAACTTTTAACCCTAAACCCTAAACAATTATAATCGATATACTTTAAAATCAATCATTTTAAGTACTCGACCAAATAATCTTAAAGTTGTAATATTTATATATCATGCCAACCGCTAATCTCATCCGAACCAACCCAATAGACTCAGAACCTCAAATCAAATCAAGCACCTTAAATTCATAATCTATACCCACTTACAACCTATTAGAATTTCGGGGGTTGAACCGGATCTTGTGAGAGTTAGGGTGAATTGGACTGGATTGGCCCGTGGTGGTTTAGGGCTTGAGTTCGAAATAAATTAGCATTAAACTTAATTGCGAGTCTAACATTCTATAACTCGCCCTAGAAATAAAATAACTTCAAAACTCACACTAAGAATTAACCATTACATTTGTTCCAATAGATAAAAAGAAACTTTATAAGCAATAAATCAATGATTAGTAAACCAACTCACACTAATTCAATTAATCAATTAACTTAAAACATAATTTACCAAAATAAAATTTGAATATGAAATGGTGAGATTTGAACTCACACTTTTAACATTTACAAACGTTGTTAAAAATGAGTGAACGAAAAAATGTTGTTTTCTTAGATATGCTATTTTTCCTAATTCGAATGATTTACGGGGGGCCTATATCTTATTTGAACAATATAAAGATCTATTATTTTAATTTATATTTAAAAAGTTATATTCTATAAAAAAAATTAAAAGTTGTATACATTTAGCATATAAATCCTGGGTTTACTTTATTTGGTTTGCAGATAAATAACTTTCCACGTATATTTAACTAAAACCCATGATTGAGCCCACGAAAAGAGATTCGGTTAAAATTGAGGTGGCCCAAGTTAAAACCGACCAGGTTTGGATTCGAATATTTCAGGTTTTAGATCCGGGTTAGACCGCTTGTTTCCATTTTTTGTCAAGGGTAAACTACGCCAATGAAACACAGCTGAACCGTTACATGCCGACATGGATAGTTGACTGCCACAGCTGGACCATTTTGACCTGCTCTTCTTCTTCTTCAACCCAATCCCATCTTCTTCCTCAACCCAACCTCTTATTCTTCCTCAACCCAATTGCATCTTCGGGTAAACAGATTCAAGATCTTCAAGTTGAAAAAGTTTCCCCTGAAGATGTGCATGTACCTACGGATTTTTCAGAGAAGTGCTGAGACATAGAAGATGGTGCTCAACGTGCACAAGATGTATGTGTGCAATAACATTGCAGCTTTCATGAAATGGCTTCATGATTCATAACCAGGTGACATTGCAGATGATGAAAAATCGAATTTTGGTTAAGATTACCAAAAGAAGCACGCATCAAAGAAGGAATAAGAAAAGCATATAAACACAAGGAAAGAAGACCAGCAGCGATAGTAAAATCACAAAACTCCCAACAAAATTATTGAAACTGTAGGAGATAAAGAGAAATTGATCTCTAATAACTTGTGAACTACCAATAAAAAAATCAAAGAAATAAGCCACCCTGAACTAAGCATACAAATATATGAAAACAGACGCACCTCTACTCCACCGATGCAAAAGAGAATCACCAGAACTTCAACAAACCAGAATGACATAAGCATGTAAAGCATGACCAAGAAACATGAATCAATTACTACAAAGAGAATTGCTGATGTTGTATTTATGTCGACAAAACCACCGGAACCCGAAGCTCCTACTTGTAGAAATTCTTCTGATGCATCCTGAGCAACAAACATCAATCAACAGAACATTTTCATGAACTATTCGATTCTACTAAAAATTGTTTAGCCATATATGTGCTAGAACAGAATTTTAACAAAGAACACATAAAATTAGGGCGTAGAAGTGACCTTGAGTAGCTTGGTCTGCTTTCCATGCGCCTTTCTTCATTTTGGGTATGTTCCATTAAAATAAATAAAAATTTGAAAAATTACGCTATTAATTTTTAGGATAATGTTTGGGTTGATTGGGAAGCTATGGAGAAGAAAAGTGAAGAGAAAGAAAGAAGAAGATGGGTTGAGGAAGAAGATGGGGTTGGGTTGAGGAAGAAGATGGGGTTGGGTTGAAGAAGAAGAAGAGCGGGTTAAAATGGTCTAGTTGTGGCGGTCAACGATCCATGTCAGCGTATAACAGTCCAGCTATGTTTTCTGTCACACCTATTAATAGTTGTTAACGTCGAGTGATCATTTTATAACAAACGATAATATTAGTGACCAGTTTGTGACTTTTTAAATATCAATATTGAAAACGAATACCACCCCAAACATGACTGACCATTGGCGTAGTTTACCCTTTTATCAACGTTGGCAATTTTGTCTACTCATCGGTTTAGCTTTCAGAAGTCATCATTCTTATGAGAGAATGATTGGCACTCTCACTACTAATTTGCTGTTTGCTTTCCATATGCATTGTTGTATTCATTGCAATTGCTGTGTTCCCTCCATCGCATTATCCTCAACCCGTGCTTGCTGTTAAGACACGATATCGTTTTGCTTATCACTTCTTTTTTCATGATCTCTCCATTAACCGGAACGCATGAGAAAACCTCCGCCGGCATAGGATTATCTAGTGAATCGATCGCAAGTTGGGTGATATTCGACTCGTACTATTTAAAAAATTTGTTGTTCGACTCCGTTCGTTATTTGTAAAACTCGTTAAAATTTTGCTAAGTCCGAGCTCGTTAAAAAAGTTTATTGTTCGACTCGCTTGTTACTCGTAAAGTTTGTTAAAATTTTTATCGGCTCGTGCTCGTTAAAAAAAACTTATTGCTCACCTCGTTGCTCCTTAAATTCGTCGCAATTTTTACCTTATTTTCTTAAATATAAGTATAATATACTAATACTATATAAATCTTAATATAAACATAAATTAATAAATTTAATCAAAAAATTATAAAAAGAATATATAAATCAATTTCAAATTCTAAACTTCAAAATAGTAATCCACAAAACATTAAAATAATAAATAAAGTTTAAATTTTAAGTATAGTAAAAATTAATTAATAACTTAAGGGCTGTTTGTTTACTTCAGAATGATTAAGCGCTGAATGATTCAAAGGCTCTGTATGAATTAACTCTGAATATGACATGTTGTTTGATAATGACTCTGAATCATTCAGAATGTACTTTTATGTTGAATCATTCAACATTGTTTTGCTAAATCAGTCATCATTGTTTTGCTAAATCAGTCAATACCAAATCATTCAGAGATGCGAAACAAACGCGCTGAATGCTGAATGGTTTAACATTCGCTTAATAATTCCATTAAAGGCAAACAAATAGCCCCTTAGTATTTTTTTGTTATTTATTAAAAAATTAATAGATTAACCATTTATTATATTTTTTAATATTTATTAATAAATTAATAATTTTTTGAATGAAATAATTTTTTAAAATAACTACTAAAAATATATAAAAAAAATTACGAGTTGTTTACGAACTTAACGAGTCGAGTTAAATTTTACTCAACTCAATTCATTATGATCTCAAGTCCAGCTTAATTTCAAATAAAATCAATCCAAATTAAACATTTATTGAATTCTAACGAATCAAATTTTAACCAAGTCATTAAGCACTCTGCCAGCAGCTATATTCATGCAAATTAAATTGCCAAAAATAATTTTAAATAATAAATTATTTAAAATGTGTCGCTTTGCCAAAAAGAAAATAATTAAAGGGAGTAAATTTTGTGGGAAGGACTAAATGGCGGTAATCCAAGGAATCTGACAAAGTCATCGGATTCACAATAATGTTGTTCCCTTCCGGTCACATCACTACTCCCCATGTGATCATTGTCGTCGTCAATCAAACGATCAAAACTTCTCCTGAATTCCTCACACGCACCGCATTGATTGAACTCTCACCCGCACAAAACATTTTTCATCTTCCCAAGGGTTGTTTTGACCTTTTCATTCAATAATTCCCTCTCAGAGAACTCAATCTGGACCGTCGATTCACCCTCCCCCATCAAACCACATCCAACATCCAAGATAACAAAGTACGGCATTCCTTAAAAGGCAGTTTCCCTTCATGTCCACAGGCTTTTCCAAACCGCAAAATCTAAAAGATCGAAGACTCAGAGGCAAAGAAACGTCGCGATGGAGAAGGAAAGAGAGCAACAAGTTTACTTGGCAAGACTCGCCGAGCAAGCTGAAAGATATGACGGTAAATATTTTGGTGGATCTCTCTATTTATTCGTGACTTTATTTGTCCTTTATTTTTCTCTGATTTGATTGATTGACTTGTTTCGTTTCGTTTTGTCTTTGTTACTTGGTTTCTTGCCTGATCTGTAGTTTAGAGTATAGTTGAGCCTTTGATTATGATTCGATGATAATATACTGAAAATAGGTGATGAAGTTGAGACTTGAGAGTGTAAGTAAAGTATTTATATTTTCTTCAGTTACAATTTAAAAGAAAAAGAATGTAGCAGTGGATGAATACTAGCTTATCTATGCATAAAGAACTACGATTTGATAGTGCATTTGCTAGTATTTTTTACTAATTAAAGTTAAAAAAAACTATTGAGAAATGAAATGCTTGATTTTTAAATTTGATGCGAAATTATTATGTTTGAATTGTTTTTGTTTTCTAAGTTATTGCTCATATTTTAATGAAAACTGGGGTTTTCTTTGCTTGCTTGTGTATTATAACAACTTTTGAAGAAACGAAAGGCAAATTAGCACACATATTTATATAAACATTTTCCGTGAAGAGATGTTGAAGCTTTGCCTTTTATAAAGGAAAAAAAATCTGTAGGACTCCTTTTCTAATTTGTTGGAACTTCAGCGCATTTGGAATCCTTTTGAATTGGAAAACATCTTACTATTTCAGAGATGGTTGAGGCAATGAAGAGTGTTGCTAGGTTGGATGTTGAGCTTACTGTGGAGGAGAGGAATCTATTATCTGTTGGATATAAGAATGTGATCGGAGCAAGAAGGGCATCTTGGCGGATATTGTCTTCAATTGAACAGAAAGAGGAGGCCAAGGGTAATGAACAAAATGTGAGGAGGATAAAGGAGTACAGACAGAGGGTTGAAGATGAACTTGCAAAGATATGCAGTGATATACTCTCTGTCATTGATAAGCACCTCATTCCATCTTCCTCGACAGGGGAATCAACTGTTTTCTACAACAAGATGTGAGGATCATCTTGCCTTTATATTTTGTAGATCTGCAAGTGTGAATATATCCTTATTTGTTGCCTTTCTTTTACAGGAAAGGAGATTATTTTCGTTATTTGTCAGAATTTAAGGCAGGAGATGATCGTACAGAAGCTGCTGATCAGTCTCTTAAGGCCTATGAGGTGTTTGAAACAACCCCCCCCCCCCAAAAAAAAAAACCAAAAAAATGTTTTGCTCTCTCTTTTGTCTTTCATCAGCCCTCTTATTCTATTTTGATTTTGTACCAGAAGTTGGGCAGTATTTATTGTTATTTATATTGTAGGCTGCCACCTCCACTGCAAGCTCAGATTTGCCTCCTACTCACCCAATTAGACTTGGCTTGGCTTTGAACTTCTCTGTTTTCTACTATGAGATCTTAAATTCTACCGAGAGGTAAGAAATTATAATGCGTCTCTCTCTCTCTCTCTCTCTCATAAATGCACACCTAGAAGTACTTTACTTGAAATTTGTTTTCATTTGGGAGAATGATAGCAATGCTAATATTTTCTTTCATTTTGTGGTAGTTTCAGAAATGATTTCCTTGCTTACCATTTGCTGTTTACTAATTTAGTAATTATAAATGAAGCATGAAGCTACGATAAGAGTTCCACTTTAGCAGCTAGTGTCATTCTAATGTGATACAATATCTGAGCAGGGCTTGTCATCTGGCCAAACAAGCATTTGACGAGGCTATTGCAGAGCTTGATAGCCTTAATGAAGAATCTTACAAGGATAGCACCCTTATTATGCAGCTTCTCAGGGACAATCTCACCTTATGGACCTCAGATCTGCCAGAGGAAGGAGGTAAATTCTTTGTGTGTATATGTGGTTAATAAGTGAAAATATGTTTATGACAACATTCTGATTGATATAATTTACTTTTTGCCTGACTGGATTTATTTATTTACGGTTAGTTTCAAGAAGCATGATCTCCTACTAAAATACTAATCACCTTCTTGATTATACTAGCAATTTCTATTTGTCTCTTGCATATGATAATCTCCTTTTTGCAAATTTGTTATTTGATATTCCAGGTGAGCAATCAAAAGCAGATGATCCTCGGGCAGAGGTAAGAAAATGTTAAATTTTGTGCAATTTTTAAGTTGGACTGATCTTTTGATAAACTGCCTATTTCTATCTCTGGCATATTAGATGTCTATGGTGGTGCATATCTTGATTGCTTTCTCCCTGTTTCTTTTTTGCTTTCGAAATAAACTTTTTTTTTCTTGTTCTGTATCCTGGCAGAGTTAATTGGATGAAAGAGTATTCTTTTTAGACTCAGCTTGCGAGGTAGGAAAGGGGCTTGCTGCTAGAGTGACCTGCTTTCAACTCATGGTAGTAGCACCAGGATTTGTGACCTATGGCATGGTCAATTTGTTCATCAGATGTTTTCAGACTACTGTTATTCTCTGTTCTCTTATGTTTAAAACGTAATTGAATCTGTTTATTTTAGTCTTATGACCCATTTTCTTGTGTTCATTTTTTTGTTGTCTTAGCATGTTTTTCCTTCTATTTCCGAATGATGCGTGCTACACTTTCTCATTCTTTAGTTTAGTACTTGGATTTGATCTTAAACATAACATAAATTTCCAATTCGTTTGAGAAGTTTTGGTTCTTATTTTGTGCTCGAACCTTTCAAAAAAATTAATGGCATGGATCAATGTTTATCTCTGACAAGCATTAATGCACTTTGTTGATTATAAAATCCTGGGTTTTTTTGTTTATTGAACCTAATTGTGATTTGGAAAATGTAACCCTTTGTGTTACCCAAAAAGAGAGGAAAATGTAACTATTAAGATAATGACATTATTATATAAAAAAACCTCTAAAAATTTATTTATTGGACTAATACCTCCCATGCAGAAGTAGGATTGACCTTACGTTTTGTAGAAAGTAATGTCACATCTCACGTTGTACAAAAAATGAATTTTATGTCTTATCCAAAAAAAAAATTTCTTTATTAGAAAATTTGATGGTCTTATGTCAAATAAACCGTGAGGTTCATTAAACACGTTTGGTAAGACGTGAGGTTGTTATACATGTGCAGTTTGAAGGTATTGTTCTAAAAAAATTGGTTTGGGAGGTATTGATCCAATTAATAAAATTTTAAGAGTTTTTTTATATATAATAACGCCTAAGAGAATTCTCCCCAAGGATAATGAGCTAGGGAGACAATTTCTGATTATTTGTAACTATATTTGGTCTCGACGAGTGTTATGATTTAGAAGGCGAATGATACCATGTTATGATTTAGATACCATGTTATGATTTAGAAACCATGACTGAAAGCACGTGTGAAGAAAAGGAAAGGAAAAAGAAATGATACACATTTATTAATAATTCTATAATATCTCAAGAGAGACCAAACACTATTTATATAACATTCTCAATACCGGGTTAGTGACCAAATTGAAATATTTCAGAATTTGTTGGTCAAAGTAAAATAGTTGAATAGTTCATGATTTATTTGGGAATATTTCCTGAAAGTTTTTAGTAATTATCAAAGGAATTAAAGGGCAAAATGATCATTTGGCAAGAAAGATATTTTCCCCCTTTTATATGAATGATTCACGTGAATGGGGGAGTTGTCTACAAACTCTTCTCCATTCTTCTTCCTCCTCCCATGAAGGCTCCAAGGCAAAGGTGAGTTTTCTGGTTAATCAATTATTTGTTCATTTTATGGTTGGGTTTTTATCATTAGATGATAACTAAGCTTAAGGAAAGCTTAAGTTATCTTGAAATCAAAAGACAAAGGAGTTAGAGAAGATTAAAGATTTGGAGTTCTTGAGTGAAATCTTGAAATAGACTTGATAAGTTGAATTTGAAGTTAAATTTGACTTGACATCAGCTTAATTAAGACGTATTAAGTGTTAGAATTGGATTTGAAACATGTTGAATATTTTGTATGATTATTGAAGTTTATAAAGAGGAGAAGATTTTGAGGTTTAAGATGAGATAAATGAGTAGAAATTAGTTTAAGTATGTATATTTGAGTTAAGAATATGAAAGGGAATGAAATTTGAAGAATTCAAGTTGAATTGAGTGAATTTTCGTGCTTAAAATATGATTTCTGGGCTTGAACGAAAAATTCCAGATTACGTAGAGGGAACAGATACCCCCTGGGGTATCGATTCCCCCTTAATGGAAAAATTGGAATTTTGGTTCATTAAACTAGCTTAAGTTATTAACATCAAGTTTAAGGTTTAGACTTCTGATAATTGTTTTGAAAATTATATTTATGTAGATATTGAGCCTAAACAAGTTCCGGAACAATCAAAGAATTATGATCGAATCAAAGCAAGGCTAAGGTGAGTGCATACTAGTTGTAAATGATGTGTATGGAAATAAGACTCACGATGAGTCTAATTACAATATTGGATTGAATAAATATTTGAATGTTAAGTATGTGTTTGATATGATTATTATGTATGCATGAATGAATAGATTCATAGATGTTATATGTTATTTGGTGTGATAAGCTATGGGAAAATGAACTAATGGAAAATATGAAATTAGTGTATAAGAAATATGATATAGTGATCATGTAAAAATATGATAAAAACTATATGTCATTAAGGCGTAGAATATATGAAATTATAATACAAGCTATGTGGTATTGACATAAGTAATTATAGGATTGTGTAAGATAGAACACGTGAATTCAATAAAAGCGATTATATAAAACTGTGAGATAAGTATAGGGCATATATACAGACTAGATGAAAATAAATACATGAATATAGGTACAAGTTTATATGTTATTTTAGGTGCTATGTGAAGTATATATGAACATATGTGAATAAGATATGATATACATGTTTACATGAATCCATGAGAAATGATATATGTTACATGATATAAACCTATGTGATATATGTTATATGAAATGATACAGATGTTTACACATACATGTGATATGTGACAGAAGAAAGGTATATGTGATCACAAGAGAAATGGCATGAGTACATGAACATATGAAACATAAGAATAATGCCCATGGTATATAATACGAGAGCTATAGGTATAGTTGGCATGCCAAGAGTCGAGGGTTATAGTGGCCCTTCGGGACAATACAGTGGTCCTTCGGACAAATTTCATATGTCACTCAGTGGGACTTATACGAGCTGTGGTGACAACATTAGTGCACAACCTCAATGTACTCACATACATTCAGTTCTCAACAGTGTACATGAACCTATAAAAGTTATCAAAAGTATTTGCATTATTATATGATATCGTGTTATTATTGTTTACACTGAATTCTTTGTGTACATGAGTTAATAAAGAGATAATAATCACTACAATATATGTTATTTATATGCTTTTGGTGATATGAAATGTTTCACATGAATTATATGATGTTATATGGTACACAGAAAAGATAAGTACAAGATTATGATAATGAGGTTGTTGTGGATAATTATGATATAGATGCATGTATACATTTTGTTATATGGAATGTTTATGATTTTATTATATGTTTTATATGTCCTCACTAAGTCAACGACTTAGCGTGTGATTGTTTCACGTGTAGGTTCCGAGAAGAGGAAGAATGATAAAAGTTAAGCAAGACAGGTCAATTTCTCCTTTCCAAAGATCAGATCAGGAAAGAAGTTAATAGTATGTATTTTATAATACTCATAATGGTTGGCATGTAAACAAAGATTTGAATCCGATATGTTTTAATCGGTTTTGTAAATTCATATGATTGAGTTTTGTAATAAATGTGTATGTGTAAATGATGATTTTATACGGATGAAAACTTAGGTTTTTTTTATGAAGTTATACGTATTTTACAGAAGCACTATAGCAGTACTGTAGCAGGGTATCGATTCCCTGTAGCAGGGGAATCGGTTCCCCTATGACAATCTGGAAAATTTTAACATTCAGGTACTGTTTACGGTACTGTTCATTAATGTTCACGGGACTGTTTATATTGTATTTTACTGTTCATAAATACTTTTTTACCTCAACATTTTATAACAAGCACAATTCAACAATATATGATCATTTTTTCTTAATATAAGTTCAAATGTTATGTTATTTTGAAAGAATAAAAGCTTTGAAATGTCAATGTGACATCTCGGACTCGTATCTGGGTCGGATACGGGTTGGGGTGTTACAATTTATACAGAGCAACTACTTGGGTTGGTGATCTAACAAACTTCTAACCACCAAACCGTCTCACAATAGCTGAGTGGTAATGATATAGAACAAACAGCTTATCCTTTATTCATTAGACTCCTAATATTGGACTCCTAACATCGAGTAATCCGGTATCCTAATTGTTTGCAAATGGTGAGAGATTGATACCATACTAAAGACGGAGAATGAAATTCATTTGCGGAGGTTGAAATTTACTGAAGAATCATTTGCTCATAAGAATTGTACCAATGGTTCTTCTTAACAATAAAACTAAGCATTCGATGCTCAGAAGAAAAATGGAAGGGTAGCATCAAGCATGGACTCTCCTTTAAATGGCTTAATAGATTCTGTGTTTACTTGCATTTTTCTGATGGGCGTATAAAGGAAAAAATCATGCATAAAACCTGGGCGGTCTGCTCAGTGTCAAGGTTGTATCTTCCCTGCTCCGTTGCAAGATAAAATATGGTTTTCATCGTTGACAATGGGAGATAGGGTCCATGGAAAAGGCTGCAAATCAACCAGAAATGATTTCAAATGGCTGTAATACTCGTATGTCCCGCGTCCTTGATGGCAACGAAGTGAGCATTATCCCAAGTAATTTGATTTCCAAATATGCTAACCATTTTGACCTGTGACCCAGTTCCAATAAGAATATTTGATCATGTTCTCCCTAAAACTGTAAGTTGAAGCATCAGGTGTGTAGATACCCATTTTCGTTCGAGACTTTGTTTCAAGATTTTAATTATTTTATATATTTTATTATGTTTTTGAAAATATGATATATGTTTTATAGTTTTTGAAATATGACATATGTTTTTGAAAATATATGTTTCTAAAATATATATATAATATTACATTATTAGTATTTACCTTTATTTTATATTTATATTTTTATTTATTTTGTTTTGTTTTTTATAGGATCCCATAAAGAGTCCAAGTCCAAGTTTCGGTCTAAATGAGTCTAAAGAAATCCAAACAAAGCAGCCCAACGTTCAAGGAAGGCCCAAATGAGCAAGCAAGCCCAACTGGGATCCAAAAAAGCGCTAGGCTTTTGCATCTTAAGCAGGGCACCACATCATCCCAACTGTGGGATCAGAGGGGAAAGCAAGGGTTCATATCAAACCTGGTTAGGGTTTTAGAACCAAAAAAACATCATCACAGCGCATTCAATCTTGGGTTGTTGGATCTGCAATCAATCAAATGGCCAGAAAAGATCCAAGATCAAATTTAGGAGACATAAAAGGCCACCAACCAACAGAATATGGTGGTTGAAGACTACGCGCTAGCGAATAACGAAAGAATCCACTCGATTCTAGAAAGGAAATCTTATGAAT